ACACATCAATAAACAATGTCATAGTCATTTCAAATTTGCACTTAGTGTAGCAGAATTATGCTACAAAGAAATTTCCCTTTTTGACACCAGTACCTGTATAGAAAAGACCATGGATAAAAATGACTAAATGAATACCTTACTTCCTTACCTCACTCCCATCTTGCAGTCCATGACATTGGGATGGTCAAAGTTCGCCAGCAGGTCAGTCATATGAAGGAAAGTCTCTCCATCTTTTTCCACAGTGCCGTGGTAACCGGGCACAAACGGTAGGAGTGCGTCATCCCTCAGCTTCTCAAAACACTGCATCTCGTTTTCCGAGAACTTCTTCAGGATGGTGCCCTCGTCTGCTGCTTTGAAGTTACCTGGGATCAGATAAAGACAAGTATTTTGGGATTTTGAGCATTCACGAACAGGAGGGAAGAGAAGACACAAGACCTGATTTTGCCAGTGAGTAAAAGTTTCTATATTAGAATCCAAGGAAACTTTTGGGCCTCGGGCTGCAAATTATTCTTACTTCCAGTGACATGTGGCTAGGCCATGTCAGTTCTTTTGAATTCAGTGATTGTGTCTCTTGCGGTGAGACTGTGTGACAGTGAAACAATAGGTCTAACATCATCATCCATGACAGCAAGCATTCGTCAAGCTAAAGTGTTTTAATCCCTGTCGGTGTGGTGACCTCTTATCCTCCATTTTTCCCATTCCATAAATCTGTCAGACAATTTGAACAACACAACAAAAATGATACAACAAAAATACTAAAAAGAAACGTGTTATATCAAAGACTGCACACCAAACAGGACATCAGATTTCTCCGTCGGGGATCTACAGTGCATCAGAAACAGTATGTGATGGTCTGAACAGGACATACCTTTATGCCCGGCTAGCTGAACCCAGCTCAGTTTTCTCCTCTGGGTAGCACTAAAGGGCCAGTGGACGATCGTCTTTAACTTCCACCACGGCTTGCTCTGAAAAGAAGGAAAACAAACAGAAGTGATTAGAGGTTTTTGGCTCTCTCTGTACATTTGCTCACATAAAAGATCTGATAACAAGGAGAAGTGCTGTAAGGTCACTGAACCTTGGTCCACCCCATACTGTCTGAATAGAAATCTGATCACATAAGCAATTCTACCCAAATCTGATGCCAGGCTTTTGGTTTTCCACTGTGTGAAACCTCCAATCTAGGTCAGTAAAATGCCATTTCTGTGGAAACTCATATCTGCACTCAACATCTCTATTCAGCATCTCCAGAGTGGTGTGGTGACGGGCCTCCAACACTGATTCACAGAGAGTCTAAATCTACTATCTAACAGCATGAATGTACAGCTAAATGCATTTCCTGCTTATGTTGTTTTTATATTGAAGTAGCATATTCACACTGAATAATTGAATAGCATGTATAATTTCTTCATCTTTGGTCAAACTGCCATATCTCAAGGGGAAATCTGAGGAATACTCAAGGTTGACGCTGCCCTTGCTGCTGGCCTCTCAACTCCCACTCACTTGTTAGCGACGTCTGAATTTCTTGGTGTCATACGACCAAATTAAAGTATGCACTGAAACCTGAGCAAAGACAAAAACAAAAACAAAAAAAGAAAAGATGGCTGTGACGAGTGAATTATCTTTTCTTGGCAGAGATGTTTTTTTTTTTTCAAAGTTGTTTGTTTGTTTGTCTCCTCCCACCACACACACTTTCTCCCTCTTTCTCTGTCTCTCACTATGCGCACACACAGAAAAAAAAAACACAGGAAAACACAGTAACAGCTTGCATATTTCACAGAGACACAGTAGTGCTTCTCACTTATGGGGAACTGCCTGTTATATTCCCTCCCAGAGAACTGACCATGTCTCAAATAGTGCCCACTTTAACACTAAGAGGATTATATTTCTATACACTCATCTCAAATTTAACTATGAGGAAAAGAAACCAAATAAAGAAACTCCCAGGCGTTGGAAAGGAAAAGCAGCACATGTTCTCATGATCCTATCTTTATGCTTCGGAGAGGTCATTTTATTCTGTGTGTTCTGATGGAAACAGGAAATGAAACAGGGACTCTCGTGTTAGTGAAACACTCAGCTCATGCTTGAGTGTCTCACAGCTCCCCGTCCTCACTAATAGCAGAACTGTGCATCAGCCAGTCTCTCTTAAATGTCAGGTGATACGCTTCACTTACTCCAGTGCTACTTGTTTACTGATAATATCGCATGTGAAGGTCTTAAGACTCCCACAAACGAGCATTTATTTTATTGCTGCAAGTCTTTATCTTTATTGTCAGTTGACTGAAATAAAGTGTGGAGTGTGGAGACGGGGTCATGTGGTGTAACGTCTCATCCAATGGAAAGTTAGATCTGAACTCTGAGTTATGATGGAAACATGACAACCCTGCAGAATATTTACATTTTACACGTAGTCTGACTTTGAAACGTCATGTTACTCACACCATGATGACAGAAACCACAAGAGTTCATACTGATAACACTGCTTTCATTTTTGACTTAGCAAGTCTGCTTACTATATACTATTGTCCAAGAAAACACAGAAGCTGCCAGTGGAAGAGTGTTCAGATCCTTTACCTGGTAAAAGTACCAATACAACAATGTAAAAATACTCCAAGTAATGGAGTACTGAAGTAAAAGTACTCTATATTATATAAATTATCAAATAAGTATGGCATTATTAGATTGTTGGTACTGATGCATCTATCTTTATAGAATTTTACTGTTGTAGGTTCTACAGGTCAGGGTGGAGCTACTGTACTTTAGCTACTGTACAGTCTATGTGTAGTAGTTTATATAAAGATAAATCTGAGGGGTTGTGAAATGATTAATGGGGCAGGAAAGAAGAATATTTGTATTCATTTTGAGGGGAATTTTCCCTAATCTGTTTTTGTGAAATATTCTTGAATAATTTTACCTGTTTGGGCCTTGCACTGCTAACAACTCATAGAAACACTATCCATAACAATGCATTGTATCACGTAAAATCTTAATTTTAAAAGTAACTGGTAATTATAGTTGTGAAATAAATGTTTTTTTAAAAAGCACAGTATTTCCCTCTGAAATGTTGTGAAGCGGAAGTACACAATAAAAATACTTAGTAAGTATTTGAGTAAATGAAGAACCTAAAAATTGTACAGAACTTGAGTAAATATACATTCACAATCCATGCAAGGGCAGTACATTTTGTTTACTTTCACAAATGAAAATGAAAATATTTTTAGGTTTAGCCTAATGTTTGCTCTCTGCTTGTTGACCCACCATTTCTCTGTAACACCGGGCCTGTTGGGTGTATGACACACTGACACAGCACCAATGCCGGTCGATAGTAGTCGATAGCAATGCTGCGAACATAGACCACGGAAAGAGAACTTTACCAGTTTCCAAAAATGCATTTCCAGGGACTGAGTCACTCAACCAGTTTTTGGTAGCTAGCCGTTATAACTCATGCCTTCTGTGTGAAGCTGTATTGTCATCTTTAAGTGCTAATGAAATGTAAACCACTGCAAGATTTTCAGATGTTAATTAATAACTAATCTGTATTACACATGCATTAAAGTGTGAACTCCCAAAAGCTAAGTACTGATAAACAAGTGTTTTTGACTTCCTGAAGTGGTTCTTTGTTAAATGTCAAAGGTCTAATTTGGCTACTGACCACAAAAAAAATGATTACACAATGATATGCAGCCTGTGCTGTACTGTGTGTGTTGGTAGGTGGGCGTATGAGTGGGCTGAAGGGGCTGAAGAGGCAGAAGCAGAAAAAGTGGCTATTTTCCGAGGTGACATGGCCAGCATATTTCATGTTATGCCGCCTGAAAGAGCTGATAAACAGCAAACCTTTACTTTGGTAAAGCCTTCATACCTAGCCTCACTTGATTGGACAATGTTGTGTTCAGGGAATAGTGAGACATATCCAACACTATGTCTTTCTCACACACACACAGACACACAGACGCTTAATGGGCAATGTGTATTCAGTCTGTTTAAAAGAAAGTGACAGCTACAGACCTTGTAAGGAGAAGGCAGAGAGGGGTAGCAGTGCCATAAAAAGACACACCCAATGAAAAGTCTGAACCTGAGTGTAACGTGGTGACACTGTACACAAAAAGCAGATTATGTTGTCTGACTAAAGAAACCAGGAGGTGACCCAATATGATCACACTCAACTTCTCTGCAAAATCACATGATGAGATGATGATCGAGTATAACCTCTACAGCTGCAAAAAATAACATGTTCAATTCAAATAGAAATGTAGACTATCAGATTTTTCTGAAGGGAATAAAACAGCTTTATTTGAATGCATGTGCAATGCATGTTTAATAAGACTGGGACTTCTTGGCTACAAGTGAAGCTTTATCAGCCAAGAATGTCATAGGCAAACAAATTTCCACCTTCTATTGAACTAAAGGTGTGTCCTGCCGAGGGAATGATGGTGTTAAAGGTCAGGACTTACAGGACTTGTTGAACTGACATTTAACATACAACAGAAGCATTTTTATTATTGTTAATGCGTAGGCTATGAGCTACACCCTTAAGAGCCTGTGGGGGAAAAAAGACACAACATTATTTATATTAAAAGATGCCACTAAGAATACTAAAAAAGGGACTGCTTGTGTTTTTCAAATGTTAAATCACGAAGATAATTGGCAGTAAACAAAATGATGTGGAAGAAAAGCACGACTCTGACAGCTTGCCACTTTGAGCAAGCTTCTTCGTGTTGGTTTCAGTTGGGGTTAGGCCTGGCATCATTAGGGTGATGTGAAAGGCTTTGATAACCCATTAAACATAAGGAGAGATAATGTGATTTCAATGGGGGACAAATCAGATTTCCTGGAGATTGTCCTGCCCTCTCTGACATGGATCTTAAGGTTGTTTAATCTATGATTTAAAAAAGTGCAGAAATGATACCAAAAAAAAAAATTCCAAGAGAGAACTCACTTATTTGACATGTTTATGGGAATAAAAAAATCAACTAAACAAACTTTTAACAAATGCTACTGTAATTGCCTCCTCTCTGCAGTCAGATCAATCCCAGAGATCTTATGTGAGGAAGTAGTTTGCTGACTGCTTTTTATGTTGTGCAGTGCTTCACTGTTTCTTGTTCTCAAAACATCAGCTCTTTGCTGGAACAGGGTAATTATAGGGGATGCAGATTTGAGGTCAAGAACGGCAATTTGTCCCAGGATGCTTCATGGGCACTTTAGCTGTAGTTGATTTAGTCATGCATTATATAACTGTGTTTATACAGAGAATGTTTAGAATTATTGTTATAGGCTACACTATGTAACTAGGAAATGGTATAAACTACAGACAAATGATTCGCAGGTAAGCCCTTGCAAAACCCGCCAGGGACCCATGAAAACTCATGTTGAAGACTGTAGGCTAGTACATCATTATCTTACTTCTCCGGTGTCCCCAAGGTGCTCTAACGTGATGATGCCTTTGCTTTTGGTCTCGTTGTCACTGAGTAGGTCATCCTCGGACTCCACAGCGGAGGACCCTCCAGAGGAGATAGATGAGTTGGACAGCTTCCTGCGCAGGGATCCGTCCACCACATCATCCCAATCCTCCTGCTGCATTTCCCGGGAGGAGCCGCCTCCCTCCGGGGTGATGGTTACCTGCGGTACCCGGCGCGCATCCATCACAGTCGGCGCTCCGGCGGCGGACGACGGGGCGATTTGAGCGGCTTTCTGAATGAGACCATCGCAAATCTGCGACGACTTCGCGGCTGTTCTCCGCTCTGAACGCGACCCCTCGTTTATTCCAGAAAGCCCGAAGTCCTTGGAGGTCTTTCTCCTGCACTCTTTGGGCATCGGAGACCTAAATCCGTCGTGAGAGCGCACGACGAGAGGCGCAAAACAGATGCACTTTAACCTTCAAATCTGGTCATTTCACTTTCAGAAAAGCAGTTTGACTTTAGGTGTTCAGTCGATCCACGGCGGTACTTTCTGGTTGTTAGTTGTCCGAGTTTTCACACGTTAAGGAGCCTCTGTCAGCCTCCCTGCTCTGTTGGAAAGGGGAACCCCTCTCTGGTCGCGGCGTGGCTCGCGCTTCTACGCGGTTTGACACGCGCACTCACTCACACAACTGTACAATGGAGAAATGTTTATTATCTTCCGCATTGCATCTCTCGCTTCCTGACTGAAAATTTAAACCAGCTGACAAGTTTTTTTTTTCTCGCGCTGATCTACGACATTAACATAACCCTACATTCAACCATTAAATCAAAAGGTGCTTAGCGTGCCATCAGCTACACAAAGATAATAGGCTACTTAGTTTTAGTTGCTGCATCGAAATGTTTCTGCCTAAAGACACGCAACTAGGCTACATAAACCTTCCTTTAAGGCTTCAGCTTTCAAACATTCAAGCTGTGGTTTAATTACACAAAACTGTAGCCTATCACTTCAAATGACAAATAAACTACGTGTAATGCACACTAACAGGGTTTCGATCACAGGACTAATCTTTTATCTCTAACAAACTCAGTGCAAGTGTGCGTAATTTCAAAATAAAAAATGCCTACATATACTTGGACATTAAATAAAAACGTGTCGCCATTGACATCTGGCAGCACGAAAGAAAGTATTAAAATTTCAAAAAGTCGTTATTATCATGTCATTAGCCTATAATTCCAGGAGGCGACGCTCCAGTGCGGCTTTACTGCTGACAGTCTCTTGGTCTCTTGACAAGGAACAGTCAGCGCTGAGAGGAAAGATGGTGTGAAACTGGATGATCTAATCGGACAAAACCTAAATACACAGTTACAGTCATTGTGGTGACTCAGAAATTATGAAATACATGCAGTACATTTTAAAGTAATTTTTGTTCCTATGTTCCTTACATTACTGAACAGCAAAACATGCATCAACAGTAAGTTTAGGCTACATGTGTCTATAATTATTCTGGCTAAGCTGATTTGTTTATTTTTATTAGATTAGCCTATGGGTGAGCACAAATTAAGTTATTGTTGTTTGACACACTGCAGCATCCTGTATAACATCATTCATCAGTCCTGGACAGGTGGACTAAAGGTGTGATCAAGCAGGTGACGTGGATTTAAGGGTTCATAGTTTATAGGGTTTATTAAGTGTGACTCCTGAAGGTGGGCTGACTTGTGAGATACACAATCAAAGAGTGATGAAGGGTGAGACGGGAAAAGAGTGGCAGCCACGGCAGCCTGCTACCAAGGCTTTGACCCTGCAGCCTACGGCTTTTCTATTCTCAAATAAAAAATAACAAAAGTGAACAATCTGTATTCATAAAAAGTAACTACTAAATCGCCAACAAACACAGATTCAAAAAAATATCAGCAGCTCACCAAAATTTCTTCTTTGAGAAACAATTAGGAATATATGCTTTAAGTTGGGGAATTTTTCCAAATTGTACACACACACACACACACACACACACACACACACACTACTGCACACATATTGTAGGCTAAATGAACACTTTCTCCTCTTCCCTCTCTTAATCAGAGCACAGACTTTGTTGTAGTTCCCCTTCCCTTTCTCTATCTTTCTGCCCTCTTCTTCCTCTCTGTTGTGGGCTGAAGTTGGCACGTCTCGTCAAGAGATCATGCCTTCTCTGGACAGATGACAATACAAGTATGCCAATTGATAGATAATTAGAAGCATAGCTGGATGCAATGTTTTTTCGTTACTTGAACATGAGTGTGAAAGCTAATATGCACTGAATGAGGTAGAAAGTACTGAGTTATACAATAAATAGGTGCCACATTGTGCAAATAATGCAACCTTATATTTGTGCCATAAAGCTCATTTTTCACAGCAGTGAGGGAAAGTTGAATTGCCAACCAGGTATTGCTGCCCCAGGGCCCTCAAAACTCCAAGGGCTCAAAATGCTCAGCCTCTGTTAACAAGCGTGGGTTAATATTATCAGAAATAATTTTTAAGAATGTCAAAAAAGTCAAGTTTTAAGTACTCGTTGTTTCAGTTTTGTACTCAAATGTTGCATATCCCTAAATTAATGTAAAAGCAGGATTTTACTGCTGTAGTTGGTTGGTTGGTGTGGAGCTCATTTTGAACTATTTTGAAAATAGTTATGATTGATTATATGATATGATATGATTATATTGATATGATATACTGATATTATATTATATACTGATATGATTATTTTCATAATGGATTAATCTGCGGCTAATTTTCCCCATTATACATCATACACACATTATTTGGTTTGTAAAAATTCTGAAAATAGTGAGAAATACGTCACAATTACCCAGAGCCCATAGTGACACCATCACAATGCTTGTTTCGTCTGACCAACAGGCCAAACCTCAGCATTATTAAAAATAAATTCAAATTATTAAAAGGAAAAAGAGCAAATCCTCACATTGTTAAAAATACATTCAAATTATTAAAATAATTGAAAGGAAAAACATCAAATGTTATTACAAGAAAAATTACTTAAACGACTTTATGATCAAATTAGTTGTCAATACATTCTCTCTCAACTGACTTATTAATTGATCAACTAATTGTTTCAGCTGTAGACTACTTGAACAAACTGTAGTTTAATTTATAAAAAAAACATATTTTCTGTATGTAAAAATCTTAATTAGTAAAGTAACTAGTAACTAAAGCTGTCAGCTAAATGTAGTGGAGCACAAAACAGCCTACATTATCTCCCTCTGAGGTTTAACTAGTGGAGTAGAAGTAGGAAGTGGCATGAAAAGAAAATACTCGAGTGGAAGCACTTCAAATATGTAGTTAAGTCCACCACTGTAAGAGACACAAAATACAGTATAACTTCATTTAATTTACTTTCTAAGAGAAACTTGGTTGTGTGTTTTGGTCAGTTAACTGATGTACTGATCTACACGCCAGTCCAGCAGGTGGCGTTAATGAGCCGATAAGAAGAAAGACAAGAGGGGATGACGTTAGTGGGACAGAGAAAAAGAGTCAGAGTTAGGTTAGACCTCATACTTTTTGTTAAAGGACAGCTGTCCCGGGGTCTGTCAGTCAACAACCTCTTTCAGGTTTATTTCTCTCCTTTTCCTTATCAGTCTACAACCATGTTTGCCGTCCGAAACGCTCTCCGCTTGTGCTCCAGGTTGTCCATCCCGGCGGTGACGAGGAGGGGATGCGCCGGTGCTGCCATCCCGGTGGACGATGTGGTGAACGGACTCACCGACGAGCAGATTCAGGTTAGCTACACTGGCTAGCTAACATTCAAGCAACACAAAGCTCACTTGTCTGTGCAGAAAAAAACATCCCTTAAATCACATAAACAAAGCTTAATGTGAAACCGTATGGCTGTTTTTAGGGACGCTGTGCACGTGACGTGATGACATAACGTTAGCCAACAGTCGCAGATAAGAAGTCCTTGATAATATTAGCCGACCTAGCTAACAGATTTCGCACTCTCCAGCTACTAATAATATTAGTCTGAATATTAGTTTTGTTTGCACATTGAAGCACTAAAGCAAGTAAGTTATACTAAGTAATTCTTAAGTACTAATACTTTCTCTGGAGCCAGGTTATAAGTTTACCTGAGATAACTTAAGCTGTCATGGACATGTTTCTTAGACAGTGAGAGGGGTGAAAGGCTCATCCAAACATGCTTCCCAATAAAGATTTATCATTTTAACCCAGGTTGACAGCAGGTTAGTGGTTTGTTGGTAAAAAGTGAGAGAGAATGGACGCTGGCTGGGGAGGAGGGCAAAGGGGGTGGGGTTCATATCTAAAGGATTTAATTGGCAGAAAGTGTCCTTCAGTCCTGGCCATTAAGAGGTTGAATATACCTGTACAGTCAGTTGCACCAGTGTTGGGGTGTAACCACTTACATGTAATTTTGTTACAAAATAAATTTAACTGTAATCAGTTACTTGGAAAACTTTGTAGTTAAATTACAGTTACTTATGATAATGTCCATGATTACATTAGAAGTTACATCTGAATATTTTCTGTAAAACTATATGATGAATGATATTCATTTTGTTGCTTTGCTTGTTTTTAATGTGCCCAATTTCTTTCTTTGCCAATTTCAGCTACAGCCATTAAGTAAAGTTTGATGCTATTCAGATGCTTTTGATTGGTTCTCATGTTTGAATTTGCCACCAGTCTGCACGTTAAATTGCCTCTTAAGCTGAATTTTGAAAATGGTTAACAGTTGAAAACATGCATTAGAAATTTTAAAAAGTAATAAAAAAGTAATTAAATGTAACAAGTTACATTACTTTGAAAAAGTAAACATTACATTTTAAATAAGGTAACTTGTAATCAGTAACCTATTAATTTCCAAAGTAACGTTCTGCTTAGGACAGTCCACCTGGAACTCAAACAGCACGTTTGGCTCCAATTGCTCTTAGGTAAAGATGATCAGTGTTTCAGTCTGCAGTCCGAAGGAGGAAAATGGCAACTAAATGCCAGTCTTGTTCATTTTTCAGTGCTTTTAATAAAATAATGATATATGATACACAAATCAGTTATTTTAAAGACCGTTGTTTGTGTTGTTTCTGTCGTACAGCTCAGGCAGACGGTTCGTAAATTCTTAGCAGAAAAGCTTGCACCTCATGCCGATGAGATTGACAAGCGGAATGAATTTCCAGAAATGAGGGTGAGTTGAAACACTTTATTGTACCAGTAGTTCCCTGATTTAGTTGAATAATTCAGAATATGGTAACATGATGTGCACACCCCCGCTTTGCTGGATCTCGTATTGGAGTTGTGTCAATCCACATGTAGAATTATCATCAAGCCTAGAGCAGGATTTCTGTCTTGGTAATGTTTTGTGTTTTCTCTACACCAGGAGTTTTGGAAGGAAATGGGGGAGATGGGATTCCTTGGGATGACTGCTCCAGGTAAGACAGCTGGAGGGAAATGCACTCATTCTATATGTAGAAGCAGTTGCATTACAGTTACATACATACAATTTTGATGATCCATTAGGGAAGATGTTTATTTTTTCTTACCTAAGCATGGACTGAAGGCTGCATTTTTCTGCTGTAGGTTTTTTAATTGCATTTACTGTCTACATCTCCTTCAGTGGAATATGGAGGCACCGGATTGGGCTACCTCGATCATGTCATTGTGATGGAGGAAATGTCACGAGTGTCAGCAGCCATTGCTCTCAGTTATGGCGCCCACTCCAACCTCTGTGTCAACCAGATGGTACGCCACGCCAACGAGAAACAGAAGGAGAAGTACTTGCCAAAGGTCAGGGTCAAAACAACTCACCCTTTACAAAATACATCAAACCACAAGCTAAGATGGATTCAATTCTTCATTCTCATCGTGGTCTTTCCTGTTGTCAGTTAATGACAGGAGAACATGTAGGAGCCCTGGCCATGAGTGAGCCCAACTCTGGCTCTGATGTTGTATCCATGAAACTCAAAGCAAGGAAGCAAGGTAGGACACCTAACAGTGTGATTTATTCCTCTGCATTAGTGCTACATGCTAAAGGTATTCCATATTGTGCTTTTTCTTAATTTGGCTTTATTAGCTTCTATCTTTACTTCCACTCTTATTTTTAGTTTCCATACAAAAGTATTTATTCTTACTTTCTCTATCAGGACTTATTTCCATCTTTCTGCTGCTGCAACTCCTGACACCTGAATTTCCGTTCTGGAGATCAATAAAGGGTTCTCCTATCTTGTAGTTCATTTATTTATATTTTTACAGTATATGCCTTCCTTGAACTGTATTACCATCAAAAATAGCTACATTTGCTGTGGTTGCTCTGCTGCTGATCAAAGTAATCAATTAATAATTTCCTGTGGATTGTACTGACTCAGGATTTGACCAAAACACTCTTGGCATTCAGCCTTTTTCCCACTGAATATTACTTTTGCCAAGTGACTGACTCAGCATGGTGGCACGTGTGTGCTGGATGGCCAGACTGTCAGTGTGAGCAGTGGATATACTGTATGTAAAGAGACAGCAGCAAAGCGAAAAGTTACAGTCTGTTTATAATTTAGCAGCACCAGCAGCTATATATCCGGATGAGAGACCTGTTTGAACTTTGTCTCTGAACTCTGGTTGAGGGTTCAGAGACAAAGATAAACTTTTCATCTCTTTTACAGCATGCATATAGTTAACTAAGTTTAGAATCTCATAATTTTGGATACTAACTAACAACAAACCTGCTGGTAGTCTATTTTTGGAGCTAATAGTGTAGTCTCTGTATACAGCGAAACTAAGCGTGCTCCAACAGATCGGCAGACAGATTGATGATTGCGTTAAAGGTTCAGTGTGTAGTATTTATGAGGATTAATTGACAGAAATGCAATATAATATCCATAACTGTGTTCTCAGTAGTGTATAAAGACCTCACATAATGAACCATTATGTTTTTATTACCTTAGAATAAGCCATTTTTATCTACATACCCGCGTACACCCCCTTCTATGGAGGTCGCCGTATTGTGACGTCATGTTTCTACGGTTGCCGACAATAGACAAACAGCGCTACAGAGCACGTATTGTCATCACAGCGTTCTTCTTCTGCTTGTATAATTCCGGCAGTGTAGACGCCCATCACTACATTAAATGCGTCCGTAGAAGAAGAAGAGGAAATAATAATAATAAACAGTCTCTGAGTAGTCCTTTGGGGGTTTTTTATACCATGAAGCCAGAGGAGTCGGGACAGATGCAGACAGATCAAGGACATAATCAGTGTGGATTTTTCCAGATGGAAGGCTTTGATGTGGGACAGATGTTTTCAAAGTGGAGCTGACGTTTTCTGTTTTCTGCTGGACAGGTAATTAAGCTAGTCGGACTTTAGCGATGCAAATGGAAGCTGTTGCGTGGACAGAAATGTGCCCTTACCTTCCTGAGACAAACCGCTGATGAATATTATTGGCAATAAAATGGTAACAGCATGGAAGCTCAGATCAGCAGCTAAACTTCTATTGAATACTGCCCTGGTGGAAAACATTTATGTATTTTACTTCTAATAGTGACACATAACAAGACCGTGTGCCTATCAAGTGACCAATAATGAATACTTTCTGAATTTGCATTAAAAACGTTGTTGTTGTTGTTTTTGGATAGTGCTTTGCCACTGTGCATACATTTGTGCTTTCACATGCTAAATGTCCATTAAAAATGTTCCACCATTTTACCACAAGCTGAAATTATGGCAATCAATACTACTTTGTGTTTCTGTTGTATTTAAAAAAATTTAAAAAGACATTTTGGTAAGATTTGCAGATTGCTAGTATGAGACATCATGTAATACTTCATTTCTTGATCTGGCTGTTGTTTAATGAACAAGTAACAATAATATTCACAATAACATATGGTTTTACTGAATAATCAAGTAAATATAATTTCTTAATATATCAATATAAAGAACCCTGATTTCTTGACTGGCAACTCTCTGCTATCTCACAGAGGACATCTTTTGTCCTGTCTCAGGCACGGTAGCTATAAAACTCGCTTGGATAAGGGAGGGGGGATGCAATTTGCAACTCTCACCACTAGATGCCACTAAAACTTATACACTGTACCTTTAAATAGTTTCATCGGTTGTCTCTATAAAGGCCGGTCAGAAGAACCGATCATATGACGCAATACTCACCAGACAAATTTTCGACGCACAACAAAAAGAGTTTCACGACATTCAGTGCTTTGAGCAGTTTTCAAAGCTAGCTGCACCAAAGTTCTTTTCACACAGAAAGTGATTGAAGCGCCTAGTAAATCATTTTTTAATGAGAGAGCAGGCAGTCTGACAGGCGGAGTGACAAGCGGGTGCGATCCCGTGAAACTGTTGCAGTCGTGCTCGTCTCACGCACACGGTTGCCCGCCACCAGAGTTGAATTGTGCAACACACAGCGCATGAGGGAGAGAGAGACTGATCCTTGCTGTGTGTGAGTTTCCTGAGGCAGAGCGAGTGGGACCGTTTGGCACCTTAAGCGCCACTCTGCTGTCGGCCCCTCTCTCATTCTCTACCCCTCTCCCTCTACCCCTCTCTCCTCTCTCTACTCTTCTCTCAACACCCCTAAAAGCTCACAGAAACTGCCTGAGCTTTCCAGAACAAAAAGCGGACTACTCCAGAGTTTTTATCATTCTCATGATGCAAAGCCGTCATGATGCCTGTGCTCCATTATCTCCTAAATATTTGGCTATAGCATTTTTGGTTGCAGTTTTTATGGTCTAAAATTGAAGTAAATTTATAAAGACTGTGTTTTCTGTTTTTGTAATTTTATTCCACTGGAAAGATATTTTGTTAAGCTCTAAGCTGTTCTCAATAACCAAGCTGTCAATGCATGTATTAATTTAGCATCCAATGAAAAGCTTTCTCAATTTTTATGACTCGTGCAGAGTGTTTCTGAGGCCGGCTGGGCCTCACAGATTACTGTACAAAAACAGAACTTTATAACTTGTACAAGAACTTTTTGCCATATTAACTTAAAGGTCCAAAGATCCATAACTATGTTTTCAGTGGTGTATAAAGACCATTACATAATGAACCGTTATATTTTTATTACCTTAGAATGAGCTATCTCTATCTAAATACACTGCGGGTCCTCTTACATGGATGTTTCCGTGTTGCGCCGCCATGATTCTACAGTAGCGCGTTTTGTCACTACGTTGAATATGTACAAAGAAGAAGTAAAGTTAGTGGTAGTAGCAGTAGTAGTCAACTGGTTTATTAGAAATAAGAAGAGAAGTGCAATTTGGACAAATGGAGGTATTATTTAGCACAAGAGCCGACAGAACGTGTCAGGCACCATAGCTTCTCCTGCGCGCTTGAAAAAAGAGAGCTGAGCTGATGCACTGATGGTGCATTCATGTGGTGTCAGAATAATCAGAATCTTTTTTTTCTCCTTATATATTTATTGGAAAAAGAGAAATAAAGTGTACATGGGACATAAAGAAGTATACAGAACTTTGGTTAGTGCAAAACATTTTGTATATACATGTATGTATTTATAATATGGTTATAACGGTTAGTTTGTTGTCCATGTAGAGTGAACTAGATGTATGCGTGTTGTTTTGTGCTCTGATAATGCTAATCCAACACATCTTTGTAGTAGCGTCCATGTTGATTCCATAGTTTGACTTAAGAGCACATGAACACACACTGAAGTTGCAAGAACGACTTCACAACTCGGGAAATGGGACCATCCGAGGAGATCATGAATGTACTTTAAGCCGCTGGTTACAATACGTAACCCTCACCACTAGATGCCACTAAAACTTATACACTCAACCTTTAAAAGGTTACAATATATCAATAGGTGCGTTTGAGATGAGTGCATCCGACTTTCGCCGACTTGATCGTCAAACGTGAAGCGTAGGCGACTGCAGGGGTGGGGTATAAAAATGGCGCCCTCAAGTTGGACACATTCTACCTGCATGAACTTGCTGTGAGCTGAGGTCAATGACTGATATTGCGGCAATAAAAAAGACAAATGCCGCAAAATCAGGCAAAAGGTGGTTCCAACTTTGTGCAGCTGGAGAAAAGCAACTGCGGTTGCCTTGATCCTGCAACGTTTCAATGTCTTGACGTGGTGAAGTTTTGCAGTGCCGGCGAAAATTCAGACACAATTTCTAACCAGCATGCCTTATGTTAAGTGCAGCTAGGTGCATCTGTAATTCATTCAATTCAAGATGTGAAGAGAGAAGGCACAGTGCCCTTCATGTTTCTCAAATAACTGACAGTATCAAAGCAGAAGATTTAAAGCCAAGATACAGCTGCTATGTGCTTTCACAGGTACACCACTGAGTGAGTGAGTGCCATTACCTCAAGGGTGTAATTGTGCAGTGGCAGCACCTTACTTCATGACTTGTAAGAACAGATTTTGAAGCCGTTGTTGACTGTTGGGTTAATGATAGAGTAGTGGTACGTGTTGGATTTGTACTGGTTAGACCAGAGAGACTGTGGTGTTTTCCGGATGAGAGAATTTGTTGTTGATCTGTCAGAAAATATGTTAACCACGATCACAGGTCAGCACTCACACCTTCTCTCTTTTAACCCATTAATAACATATGTGTTCATTTGAGATTTTACCATGGATCCAGACAAATGGCTTTAAAATTTTCATTATATCATTCATTAATAGCTTAATTTCTATTTCGCCTTTTGTATTTTTCTACAGGCAACTACTATGTTCTGAATGGCAACAAGTTCTGGATCACAAATGGGCCAGATGCGGACATCCTTATTGTTTATGCAAAGACAGATCCTAAGGCTCATCAAAAAGGCATCACAGCTTTCATTGTTGAAAAGGTAAATCCAGTCAAGTGAAGACGTATTCTTCTGTACCTCGGGATTTACTTGTAGGTCAGGGGACATAGGGGGTTTACATGTTTTAGTCTGTTCTGGGGATCACCCCTGCATTTTGTTGAATGAATATGATTATGGGAAAAGAACATGAGTCAAATAATTAAAAGACTTTGTTTGTGCACGGTGTAGGGAATTCCAGGATTCTCTACAGCACAAAAGCTCGACAAACTGGGCATGAGGGGATCCAACACCTGCGAGCTGATCTTTGAAGACTGCAAAATCCCAGGTGTGTGTCTAAACCATATAGTCACCTGTGGAAAACAGGAGAGTAATTTTTTTGTCTTTAATTTACTTTCTTTAAAATGTTTTTGTTTGTGTCTTTGTTGAAGAGGAGAACATCCTCGGTCCATTGAACAAAGGCGTTTACGTGATGATGAGCGGCTTAGACCTGGAGAGGCTGGTGCTTGCAGCGGGACCTATTGGGTAAGTTTATAGCAGAAATAATAGGCAATTGCAAACTGTAAAATGCTGAGCAGTGATGGACAAAGTATTCAGATCATTTACTTACTTACTTACTTTATTAGTAAAAGTACTAACCCCAAACTGTAAAAATACTTTATATTATAAGCATTAAAAATTGGAACTTTAGTAAAAGTGTGCATATAAAAAAATGTATTAAAAGTAAAAGCACTCGATGCAGAAAAATGCCCCTGTGACTGTTAATAATATATTAGATTATTATTACTGATGCAGTACAGAAGAGCAGGATTTTTCTGCTGTAGTTGGTTGAGGTGGCGCTCATTTTGAACTATTTTGTATCGGACTGTTACTAATGATTAATGATGTAAAAATTCTGAAAATGGTAAGAAATGCTGTTAAACATTTACTCAGAGCCCAACATGACACCTTTACAATGCTTGTTTTGTCCAAACCTCAACATTATTACAAATACATTTAAATAATTAAACAGAAAAGCAGATTATCCTCCTCCCATTTGTGAAGCTGGAACCATGAAATGTTTTACATGTACATGAAAAATTACTTAAATGATTTATGATCAATGTACAGTAGTTGCCAATTAATTTTCTGTCAGTTGACTTATTGATCAATCAACTTTTCAAACAATCAATTTTTAATTAGTACTTAAACTGTTGGGTAGTTTAATTCATAACAAAACGTATTTTATGAACTCTTCATATGTTCTGTATGTAAAAATCTTACTTTGTAAAGTAACTAGTAACTAAAGCGGTTAGATAAATGTAGAGGAGTATAAAGTTTATAAAAATTTCCCTCTGAGACGTAGTGGAGTAGAAGTAGAAAGTAGCATGACAAGAAAATACTCGGGTGCAAGTTCAACAAATTTGTACTGTACTTGAATAAAAGTAGTTACAGTCCACCACTGATGCTGAGGGTCTTTTTTGTGTTCTGTAGCATATTTATAAACGCATGTAACTACTGTTTTGCATAGTTTGGTCCGAGGTTTTTCTCCGGAAATAATTTGCATGTCAACACTCTCTCTGCTAGTTAGGCTTTGCAGGCTTGCAGGCTTTGCATATGTATGTAGTTAACATTTATCTACACCAGCAAAGTAGTGTTTATTCATTTTTTTTAACCTATTATCATTACTGGAAGGCTTAGAAATTATTCTAAAGTGAGAATGAAACATCATTGCTTTGTCCCAAGTGCTTAGAAATGCTTATCAAATAAAATGTATCGAAGAAGAACAAACACCCCTGTCATTAAAAGACTGAAAGACTAAATCAAGAAATGACAGATACCAAAATTTGTGTTTTTCTTTCGCTCTTTTGTTTTTGGCATCCTGCTATTTACCTGATGTGCACTGTTGTTAAATAGTGACTTGAACCAGTCTTTAACATTATCGTTACTTTTCAGCATCATGCAGGCAGTTTTGGACTTTTCTGTTCCCTACCTGCACGTCAGAGAAGCTTTCGGACAGAAAATTGGACACTTTCAGGTTTGACCATCAGTCTTCCCTTTCAAGAAAGTACAGTTTTCAGTCCCACTAAATGTGCTTTGTAAAATGTAATTCCTCTAGTGTGACACTGGAAGCCATAGAATTGTAAAACTGTAATTTGACTAGAGTGAAACTACCATAATGTTTTATATTCATCTGTTTGCAGCTGATGCAAGGCAAGATGGCCGACATGTACACCAGGCTGAGCTGCTGTCGACAGTATGTGTACAATGTTGCCCGAGCTTGTG